ATATATATATATGAGAAATCAGAATAAGTATTCTAAGTTAGGGATAGGCTCCGCTTCAAGTCTTTGGCCATAATAATCTCTCTCTAAGGCCTAGTTTGGGGCAGCTTATAACTGCGGCGGCGTTTTGAAAAACAAAACGCCGCCGTAGTGTTTGTTTGGCGGGTTTCACTAACTTATCAAAAAACGGCATTTTGCATTTGTGAAAGACGCCGCCCGCGGGAGGGTGTCCTCGATTCGTGTTTCGTTCGCGTCCAATTACCCCGCTGCCCTCGTTCGTTCCCATATCCCTTCGCCTCGTTTGTTCGCCTCCTCTGCCTATCCGCTCCTCCCTCTTCTTCGGTAGCCGCTCCTCCCTCTTCTTCGGCAATCGACAGATTTCTCCATTCGGCTTCTTTATCGGCATTTTTTCTTCGGCATTCTCGTTCGTATTTTTTTTCTCTACACTATCGAAGAAGAGTAATTGGCATTTCTTGGCCATTTCTTCTTCTACATCCCTCGTTCGTATCTTCTTCGGCATTCTCGTTCGTTCACATCGTTTTTCGTAGGTTTGCCCTAGCTCGCGACTCTCTGCTTCCGTTCTTCGGCATTCTCGGCTCCCTGCTTCCCATCGGGATCACGCTCTTCTTCGCCAAGCATTCTTGGCATGTATAACCTCTTTTGTGCCCTCTTCTTCGCGACTACACTGGCTTTTCAACAACCATTTCTTCCTCTTCTTCGGACCTTGATAGACATTTCTACAGCATTTGTTTCTCTTCTTCGTCTACAATTCTTCTTCTTCCTCTTTTTCTTCTGCATTTCTTCTTCTTCGGTACTTACATTATTGTATTACATGGTGGAGAACGAATCAGATAACCACATTTGTAATTAGTTCATCTTTTTTGGTTGGGAAGTAATTAAAAAAGATTGGGCTGCAGAACTCTCATATGTTCTAGCCTCGTTGGGAAGGAATTAAAATTTGATGATTTCCTTTCAATAGACCAGGGCTTGAAGCCTGAATTGCGGGAAGCCAAAATAAAATTATTGAAATTTACAAACATAACGGTAAACTCTTGTGCGTTAACTTTTTACTTATCTCGCATCTAAATTTTAATTTTTATAGTGCAAAAACCTAACCTATGTATGAAAAGATGAATCACATTTCACATTTTCATACATCAGAAAAATTGCATTATGAGAAAAAAATAAAATTTAGTTGTGAGATAAGAAAATGCACATGAATTGGGTGATGTATGTAAATTCCTCATAAAATTAAGGCTTTTTACATATTGAGCACACAATTTTCACATTAATATTACTTATTTCACAAATAAAATGTGCGGTTACAAATCCGTAAAGCCTCCATAGTCTACTTGCCCAAAAATAATCTCCTTCATCATTATCCTGGTTTCATCATATTTTTCTCCTTTCTCACTCTCCTAGTTTCGCCCAATACCAGCATTGAGAAACAATCGCAAATAGAGCTAGCTTGGAAGGCAATGTTGGGATTGCAGATGACGAGACCTCTGAAACTTTCTTCTTTCTCTTATGTTTGGTTTTACCAGAGACCATTGAAAAAAGTAATTTCGTCCACTTTTAGAAAAGACCATTGAGAGAGGCAAACCGTGTCTTTCTCCCCTTCATCAACCCCTTCACACGTTTTAGATTCCCTTAATTTTATAAATCTCTAAACTTTTTGGGTTATATAATGTCATTCAACTCTTTTGCATTTTCATGTCTTTACATTTGAGAAAATTATAAATTCTGCGTGACATATTATTCATTCAACTAAAAAAATCTGCAAATAAACTGTTTACAAAATACACAAATCAAACAGCTAAACAACTTATCTAGAATTGAGGTGGAATGATCATTTATCCAGAATAAACTGTTTTCCAAAGGCACAAACCAAACAACTAGACAGTTTATTTGGATCAGCTGCTCATCAGCAGATTATCAGGATAAGCTGCTTATCAGCAGAAGCTGGATAAGTTGCAGCTGCCCCAAACAGACCCTTAAGACTTCATTTTTAATAAGTAATCCAAAGCATCAGGGTGCATAAGACCGATTATGGATGGAAGCTAACAACAAGTCAATTGAAGGAGGGCAACTCTTAACCACGATCAAACTGACTGACCAGTGGACATACAAATTGTAACACCCAAAGTTCTTGATTTGCCATGCACATAAATAAATAAAGCTTTTATTAGAATCATCAGCAGTCTAAAAAATTAGCACCACAAAATAATTGATTTTATTATTATATATTTTTATAAATCAAATTATCCACCAGTCATTCAAATTGTTGGACCATAGCTTCTAGCAGCCTAAGAGAGTAAGGTAACTTCACACCAAATATTGGTGAATAGTAGTACCAGTCATAACTCCTCACAAAGTCTTTGGGTTATGATACATAATATAACTCTATTAGCACAAACTTAGCAAATGATGCCTTTTACAGCATCACTCATTTCACTAACTTCCAACTTATGAGCCAGTTCGAGTAACTGCCACAATTTGAATATCTCTAATCACAAAGGGAGTTTGAGCATGATAGTAATAGCTCTAGTCCTTAAGCATTAGATGTCACTTTGTGTTAAGGAGTATGGATGCAATTTTATGGAATTAGTATGCCATTTACTTAATAATTACTATCCTTCTTCTTTTTTTAGGAACATTTTCTTTAAGTTTCTTTTTTCCTCAAAATTCACAATAAGTCCAACAAACTCCAAAATGATTAGAACCTTGTTGGGGCGATTAGAATGTGGCTCTAAACGATTCAAGAATTTTCTGTGAATTATTGAATTTGGTGGCTGATTTTAAAATAATGTATATTTTAAAATATTAATAATTAAAAAAACAAACTTTTTTTAATATTTCTTTTCTTACGATTTAATTAGCCTGTGGGTGAAGACCCTACACAAATTGAACTTCTAGGGAGAAAGTTATTCAAGTGCTACTAAAAAGAGCACAATAATGAATGTGCACTTTTACATCTAAGTCAACTTTATTCAGCCCATTGTTGTCTGGTTGATTAAAAATTGGCTCAAGCAAGTTAATCCTTATGATTCATATGTCCACCCTTAAATAAGTGGGAGATTACCTGGGGTAGTTTTGTAATTTTAAGAATGTTTGTAAATGTGCCTCTGAATTAGATTAAATACTATAAATTTTTAAATTATTTAGTTGTTCATATCTTACTCAAGGTCGTTTACTTCAAACCTTAACAATTTGGAATTATGCATAGTTCATTGTAAGACCCTTTGAGATTATACGGGTAAACATGTTAATTTTTCTTGAGAGATTGTAATTGCTTCAAGATTTTAGGGGGTGACATTTCTATGGAAGCTTTAATATTCTCTATATGGATTTCAATTCCACGGTAACAGACAACAAATCCTAAAAAATTTTCAGAGGAGACACCAAAGACGCACTTCAAATGTTTCATTTTAAGATTAAATTGACGTAACCATTCAAAGACAATTCTCAAATCATACAAGTGATCCCCCTTCTACTTACCTTTAATAACCAAGTCATCCATATAGCATTCAGCTTGCTTGTGAATGAGGTCATAAAAAAATTATCGTCAGTGCCCGCTGGCTGGTATGTTGCTTCAACATTCTTTAATCCAAAGGGCATTACCGTGTAACAATATACTTCGATCGGTGTCGAGAAAGCGGTGAGCCTTGCATGTCATCTTGATCTGATTATATCTGAATGATCCATCCATAAAATAGAAGATTGTGTGGATGACATGATATTTACCATTAATTCTGAGATTGGTAATGGAAACTCGTCATTCGGGCATGCCTTGTTTAAATCTTTGAAGTCAACACAGAACTGGATCTGAGCAGTCTTCTTATCGATTGACACCACATTGGCTATCATTTGCGCCTTCGAGATAGACTTCATCTGATTCATTAGTAACAATCAAACAAAATTTAATATCGTCGATTGGTCCTACTGTGTCGAATCCAACACCTTCTTTCGAGTTAAAAGTTAATTTTTATTGTTCCATAGTTTTTAAAAAAGGTTTAACTAGTATTTAACAACTGTTTATGCATAAAACCACGTTGAGCAAGTTATTGATTACACGCGGAGTACCATTCAAAAGTTAATTCCATTAATTTAGCAAAAGTATCTTATTCTAGTTTTACATCAACCTTGAAACTAGAAGAAGAGAAACCACAGTGGAATCTTATCGGCGTCGCGCCCACACTTTGTGCTTCCTTGACCACCAAACCCTCAGCCTTGTGAGGTTGAATTGGGCTTAGGGTTATGACTTATATATAGTGATTGATTTTATCATACATTGACTCATCTTCACTTTTCTATTCATTATCTGAAGAGATGATGAATCTAGATTTCCTTCGATTTATCGTGATTGCATTCTTCTCTATCTTTTCTTCCTCGGAGCTATCTTCCAAGCTAATGCTGATGATGGGATCCTTCCACTCAACAAACTTGTTATCCCTTCTCGCCCTCGTCCCCGATCTTGACCTCAGATGTGAGTCCTGGAAAGGCTTCCACCATCTCACTGTATAGGGGTAGTGGGAGATTGTTGAACTGGAATCAAGTGGTCCTGCTTTTGTAATCCTCTTGGGTCTTCGACTTTATTTAGCATGGTGTCTCTAGAGATGATTATTTTCTTTGAGGGAGCATAATAGGCAGCATCTCCATGAATGCCCATCTCATATATTAAGAACGGCTGTAGATCTCCCTGTATGCAACATTCTTGCCCATCTTCATAGTACTTTTTTTTTTCTTTTTTGGCAACAGTTCACCATTTACTCATACACAAATTTAAGAAATTAGCTCATTAGGATGTCAAGTTCCTTATGTGTGGCTTGTTATCTTAGTATGACAGGCGAGTTTGTGAGTTGACCTTATAATGTATACACTATTGCTTGCGAAAGGATAATAGATCTTGTTGTAGATAGAATATCCTTTGCTTGGAGAATCTTTGGCTCTCCTATATGTCACACTTCCTTGGGAACTTTCTAGTTATTCCTATAAGATTTTGTTGTCTAGGAGCCTCCAAGATTCTGATTGAGTAGTTCATGTCCCATTAACTTAATATATTTACCTTCTTTACAACTTTGATTGGTAGGTGTGAGAATTCAGTCGGTTCAAATGGGTCGGTTTTAAAATTAGCCAAACTGATTATAACCAAGATCTATTATCAAGAAAACCAAAACGATCAAAATTTAGATAAAACTGAATCGATTGAACCAAAATTTATTTCTGTTTAAATAATTATGAAAAATTAAAAAAAATTAATAGTTCATTGAAATTTGGCTAAGAACAAGCATTACAAATCACATATCTTATTCACATAATATTGATTTAATTACATTCTCTATTTATTTCAATTAAATATTACATACATATAATTAATTTTTAATTTTCTTAGTTTATTCCACATGAAATTAAAATATAATAAATTTTTTTGAAAAAAATCATTTTTTTCGGTTTGTTCAGTTGAATGAAAATTAAAATCAAACCACCAAATATTAAAGTTTTAAAAACTGAAAATCAAAATCCAATTATGAAACCAAACCGAACCAACTAAACTTGATAGGTTTGGTTTGGTATTTCGGTTTTGACCAAATAATGCACATTTTAATCTTCTAAGTTCTTACATTAATTCTGCCAACGGACTCATGGTCATTTGATGAATGATAGGATTTATCGAGTAAGGAAGTTTTAAGATACTTAGCTTTCTATATATTATGTTTATATGTGTTCTAGAATTAAGAACCTTCAACTTATCTTTGCTTTTTGTTCTTCATCAGAACATTAGATTGGCCCAAGATCTCCACCAAAGAATGTTTTCTCACTCCTCCCACTCAAACTTTCTAAATGCGATACAATTGATAGTGTGTTGCAAACACATAATGTGATTTTGCTTAAAAAAAATTATAAACAACCATGTACTTTTCTCTGAAAACTGTAGAATATCTCTTAATTAGATGGGTCAACAAGCCTTCTGAGATTTTGGATATGATGAGCTTTTTTTCGTAGGACCTATCAGATGGTTAAACACTCGTCAATTATAAAAATATTTATAAAACATGTTAGGTAATATGAAGGGGTGAATTATTTATTTATTTATTTGTATTCTTTCTTTGGAAATGTTGTATCCTTATAAGATCTTTTGATTTATTGGAATACCGAGAAGTTGGGTTTTCTAATTTCTGATAATAAGGAGAATAAACATACTTTATATTATTATTTTTGTTACTTTTAGTATCTTATCCTTTTTTATATGAAAAAAGTTTTTAACTTCATTAAATTATTTTATTTTCTTTTCATATTAACATGTTATCTCTACTCCTTTGTGTGCCTCCAAATTGAACATTTTTTATGATTTATTGTCTCACCTTTGGACGAGTTTCCCGAGCCCTACATGAGAAGTATTTGTTATTTGTGAGAGGGTTGTCCTCCATCTCCATGTGAAAATGCAAGAGATGAGTATACCATTATTTACATTCCCTTATTTATGTTTGCCTGATCTAAGTATCAGGGGTGTCAATTCGGGTTAGCGGGTCGGTTCAGATCTGACCCAAAAAATGACCTGACCTGAATATGATAAACACGAACCCGACCCGAATAATAAATGAGAGAAAAAAATAAAAACGGAGCTCGAACTGAACTCGAGCTTGACCCGTCAATCCGAACCCAACCCGAATAATAAACGGGTTGAGTTCTCTGACCTGACCGACTCCAAAAAAATTCAGGCCAACCCTAACCCGGTTTTTTTAAGTCGAGTCTTACCCCCGTTGGTGTGTCGGGTCAATTTTTGACACCCTACTAAGTATATTTTTAAGAAATTAGTTTATGAATTTGTTTTGTGGTAAGTGTCCACTTCCATAAAAAAAAAAAGAATCATCTTAGGTAAGGATCATCCCTATAGGAAGATTTTCAACTTTTCAACATGTTTTACTTTTTGGAGGGCTTTTAGTTGCTGTCATTGTTCACTACACTGATTCAAAACTTAATCATATTTACAATTATAATTTTTTTTTCTCATTCGAGAATCATTACATATATATCATAGTTATTATATATATTCTATTTTGTTATATGTGTTTGTGTTATAAATAAAAATATATTGATCGAGATTTATTAACTACTTAATCATATATAACTAATTGTTTATAAATAGGAAAATTTACATTCATAGCATGCAATTCTTATAGATTTATGTATCTCATATTTAAACTTTCATATTTACACACATAGGATTTTATCTATACATGAAAATGCAAATTTCACAATTTAAATATAGTAGTACTATTTTTTGATGTGAACAATAATTTTATGCGTGTGAATATTAAAATTTTGATATTAGAAATATAAATTCATAAAAATTGAGTGTTATAGATGTAAATTTTCCTTCGTGTGAGTGCGCGCCCGGCAGCGACAGCTTCCCTGTAGAATTTCTTGAATCGCCGCGAGGAAGCGTACGAAGGGCCATGTTTTGCCTGCGGATCCACTCGGTGGACTCAGCTCTACAGGAGGACGAAGGCCACCGTCCGCCGGCGGATCCCACAGGCAATGGAGTCTCCACGGCAACGAGCAGCAGCCGAAGCCCTAACGCCAGTTCTAGAATCAAAGTTATACGCGGAATCGTTCACCTCTACCGCAGAACCCTACCTCTATCCTCTTCCTCTTCACCTTCTCCTTCTTCGTCCTCAATTCCCCACTCCTCTTCCGACCTTCTTCCGGTTCGTCCTTACCCATTCCTTCCTCTTCCATCTGCTGGTTTTATTCCTCTCATCCGTTGCGATTGATTTCTTCAGGCCGGCCGAGGAACGCTTCTCTTCGTTCTCGCGGTCCCTAATCATCTATTGCCGGAGGATTTCATCCGATTCTGCGGCTCCTATGCTGACGGTTCAACAGGATTCCAGATCGTTAGGTATATTTTTTAGATTAGTGGGAAGGAAACGCGCGTGTGTGGGGAATGTGGTGAAAACTTACATTTTTTTATTGTTTCAGGAACGACGGGATGGAAGACCGGTACAGTGTTCTGATTAAGTTAGACGATCAGAAGAGTGCTGATGCATTCTATCTCAATCTGAATGGGTGGAGATTCTCTACAGCTGAGGTTGTTGATGACTAACCGGTTTACTATATTTTCTTCTGATGAACTGTTTATGGTTGTGAGGTTTTTAGTATTGGCGGTGAATGCAGGGGGAGATTTGCCATATTCTATTTCTAGGTTCTGTGGAGTTCACTGAGTCTACAGAGATTGCTGGTACTCCTCTGGTTGGATCCACTGAACTACCAACTTGTCCTGTCTGCATAGGTGAAGTTAATTTCTGTGAAATTTTATGGGATTACATATACGGAAGATTTACATATACACCACTCAATTCTTATGTATTTACACATCTAACACCTATACTTCAATTTTCATATGCATGCCACCTTACCAATGCACGACAACGGTGCATTTCACTTTTTAAAATTTAGACTGGTGGTATTTTTGATGTGATGTGAGAGATTTGGGGGCGCTAAATGTAAAAGGTAAAGTTAGATGTTAGAATGTAAATACATAAGGAATTGGTTGTATGTAAATGACCCAGTTTTGTGTTATGGAGAAAGGAAATTTTGGTGGTTTTATCTTTCTTTCTTCATTTTTTTGCTTTCAAAGGTTCTTTTCATGTGGCTTTTAGTTATATCATTGTTCCTTATAGACAAGGAAGTTTGATCACGATCTGTCTCAAAGCTGCTACATTTGCTTTGAAATGAGTGCAATACATTGGATATCAATCAAAATTTATATTGCACTTATTTTGAAACAAATTCAATAGATTTGAGATGCCTATTGATCTAAATATTTTCCTATATTTATCATTTAAGTTATAGAGAGCATCATGGACTTTGGAGTATGTTTTACATTTGATTGTTAATCTAATATCAACCCTTAAATTTTCTCATTTGATCTTACAATCATTGCCGGTCCCAAGCCTAGATGTGAAAAGTGGAGAGTTGCATTTGGTAGTCGACAACCAACGTAAAAATTGATCGAAAAAGTCATGACATGGATCATTTTGATAATTGTGTAAGTGCTAGGGCGTCATTTGAAAGCGATGTATTCTATGGTCTGAATACAGTGAAAAGTGTGCAAGGGTCGCTACACCGACTCCCGGATATAATGTGAAATAAACAAGCGTTCCTACATTACGGACGGATGTAGGTAAAAAAGTTTGTCCATATAAGTAATGTTAGGATATAATCTTGTAATACAAGTACTCTCACTGGTAAATTAATAGAATTAATTGATATTATGATTCATAAAAAAATCAATATCTTATGTGTTTTAGAAACTAAATGGGTAAGGAGATTGATACCTAAGGTTTTAAACTTTGGTATTCAGGTAAGAGTCGCACTAGAAATGATGTAGGTGTAATTATAGATAAGAGTTTGAAAGATAATGTTGTAAAAATTAATGAAGTTGGAGATAGAATTATAGCCCGTAAGATTATTGTTGTTAATAATTTTTTTAATGTTATAATTGCTTATGCCTTCAAGTAGGTTTAGATATAGGTTATAAAGATAAATTAGAAAAATTATGGAATAGACTAAAAAAAATATTACAAATGACACCTCTTGAAAAAGAAATTTTTATTGGAGGAGATTTAAATGGACATGTTAGTAGAGTGGTAAAAGATTTTAGAAATATTCATAGTGGCTATGATTTTGAAGTGATTAATGAAGAAGATAGAGATATTTTAGATTTTGTTTCACCGTATGATTTGGTAATTACTAATACTTTTTCAAGAAAAGAGATTAACATATTATTACTTATGAAAATAGAGCTAATAAAACACAAATTGATTATTTTCTTATGAGAAGAAAAAATTGTTGAGAATGTAAAGATTGTAAGGTTATTCAAAGTGAGGATTTAAGTACTCAACATCGATTATTAGTTCTAAATTTTAAGATGAAGATTTGTAAAATAAAAATACTATGAATCATTGTCATAGAATTAGATGGGGGTATCTTAAAGTCATAAATAAATTATTTTTATGGCTGAAATTCATGATTTCAAAATTTGGGATGTTCATGAAGAAACAAATTTTATGTGGGATAAAATAACAAACACTATTAAACAAGTGACAAAATTTGTACTTGGAGAATAAAAAAAAGTTTCTATAAATAAAAATAGTTGGTGATAGAATAATAAAAGATAAAATATCATAGTTATGTTATAAAAAATGTTTTAAATATAAAAGCTTTGAAAACTAGGAAAAATATCAAACGGCCCGGTTGTCTAAGAGAACAATCTGTGACGCTAAAACTTTTGTTTTTAGTGATCTTTATAATATATTAGATACTAAAGTGTGTGAAAAATATATGTATAAACTAGCCAAACAAAGAGAAAAGAAAAGTAAAGATTTAACTTAAGTGTCTTAAAGATGAAAACCAAAAAGTGCTTTTCTTAAAAGTGCTTTTCTTAGAAAAAGTTGCTTTTCTTAGAAAAAGTTATTCAAAATAAGTGGGTGAGTTATTTTGATAATTTTCTTAATAAAGTTTCGGAAAATACAATCATCTTAATATTGTTAATAATAATAAAATGTTTCATTTTTACCGTTGTATTAGTAAAAAAGGAGTTGAGGAGTCTTTAATGAAAACTAATGGTGCAATGTCTGTAGGACCTGATGATATCCCAAATGAAGTATATTTAGGAGATTTGACAGTTTCTTGGCTTACTAAACTCTTTAATATTATTTTAAAACTCTTTAATATTATTTTACTCTTTAATATTATTTTAAAAAACTAAAAAGATGTTTGAGGAGTGGAGGAAGAGTATTTTGACCCCCATTTTTTAGAATAAAGGGGATGCACAAACGTGTGCAAATTATGGAGGAATTAAGTTGACGTGTCATACTTTTAAAATATGGGTGATGTTAATTGAACTTAGGTTAAGACATATTACAAAGATTTTTCATAATCAATTTGGATTTTTGTCGGGCAGGTCTACTATGGAAGCTATACATTTATTGATGGAGAAGTTCAGAGATATTACGGAGGATCTAAATATGATTTTTATTGATTATTGATTTAGTATTGATTTAGAAAAAAAGCTTACAATAAGGTTCCAAGAGATATCCTTTGGAAAGTTCTTGAGAAGAAAGGTGTTGATATGACTTATATTCAAGTCATACAAGTGTTGTTACTTGTTTTCAAATAGGAGGATTGACCAAATATTTTCCGATTTCCGTTGGTTTGCATCAGGGATCGACTTTAAGCCCATATCCTTTTGCTTTAGTTATCGATGGTCTTACTGGACACTTACAGGAGTATGTACCTAATTAGGATCAACCATTAAAACTACTGAAATTGTAATGCTGATTTAATATATCTGATTGAGAGGCTGTTAAATATATATGATTTAACATATCCTGATTGAAGCATTTGACTCGAAATACTACTAATCAATTTTATATATACATACATATATATTGATCTTTGATGAGTAAAATTTTTAAAAAATTTAATTGACTACAAGACTATAAAGATTTATAATCAATTAAAAGTAATAAATTATTAAATCAGATTCAAATAATGTTTTAAATCTTATCCCAATTTTTAACATCATATCACTACGTGATTAGGGTTGTCAAAACAACTCTTTGTCCGTGAATGGCTCGTGTTCGGCTCGTTAAGCAAACGAGCCGAATACGAACACACTTTTTGAGCTCGAAATATAAACGAGCCGAACACGAGCTGAGCCTCGTATTCGGCTCGTTTACACCCCTACCTTGGTGTATGCTTTTTGTTGATGATATCCTTCTCGTGGATAAGACGAGAGAAAAAGCTCAGGAAAAACTTGTATTGTGGAGTTCTACCTTCGAGTTTAAAGTCCTTGTTTGAGGAGAACTAAAATTGAATACATAGAATGTAATTTTAGTAGTATTAGCTCTAGTGACAGAAATGTAAAAGGTGTGAACGTTTTAGATATCTCGGTTCTATTTTTCAAAGTGATGGTGATATTGATGGGGATGTTATTAGTAGAATTCAAGTTGGTTGGTTGAAGTGGAGGAATGCTTTGGGTCTATTGTGCGATAGAAAAGTACCGCTTAGACTGAAAGGAAAATTTTATAAAATGGTGGTGAGACTTGCAATGCTCTATGACACTGAATGTCGGCCTTTAAAAGAGAAGCATAAAACTAAGTTAAGTGTTGCCGAGATGAGAATGATTAGGTGGCTGAGTGACTTCACACTTAAAGACAAAATGCGAAATGAATATATTCGTGATAGGGATGGTGTTGCTCCTGTGACAGAAAAAATTAGGGAGAGCCGTCTTAGATGGTTTGGTCACATTAAAAGTTGACCATCTGATGATCCAATTAGAATAGTAGATGTTTTAGATTCGACTTATGTTATGAAAGGTAGAGGTAGACATAGGAAAACTTGGGCATGTTGTGTTAAAATGAGATTAATTTTTTAAATTTAAATTTATTAGAATTAAATGAAAAGATATGACACTAAATTGGACGCAATGGAGAAAAAAAGGTTCATGTAGCCGACCCCACTTAGTGGGATAAAGGTTTTGTTGTTGTTGTTGTTGTTGATCTCACAACCAACAATTATGGCTTTAAATAGATAAAATTCTTTTCATAATTTTCTTTGTGAAATGATAATGGGATTCACAAAAGTTTAGTTTGGACTAGAAAACATACTTGTTTTTTTATGCATTTACATATAATGCAATGTTTTAATGAAATCATTGAAACAACAATCGAGGAGTTCCTTATTTATTGCAAAAACATTTGTTGGATGACTAAATGCGGCATCTAAGGGAGAAAAAATATAAATATGGTTTATTCTGCGATCATCTTTCTTTCCTTTTTGTGGATAATTTGTTTATATCTGTTTTTATGGTTTGGTGGTTCATATTGAAATTCTTATATTGGTGTATTTTCATATATTATAGTTTCTTTGAGCTTTTATTACAATGTTCTTCGCATCTTAGTTGATATTTGTACTCACCCCATATTTAATGCTTCAGAAAGACTGGACCAAGAGATAACTGGCATCATGTCTACTACTTGTGATCATTCCTTTCAATGCTCATGCATATCAAAGTGGACCAACTCTTCTTGTTCAGTAAGGGACAGTATGGTTATTTTATTGTCTTCACCATGTATTTTGCTTGATTTGACCTATTTCAGATACCACTATTGCCCTTAATATTTAGGGGATTTTCGTACATACAACCCAAATCCTATGCATTCACATATCTAACACCTATACTTTTTTTTTAACATTTATACCACCCAAATCTGTCATTTCACATCAAAACTACCACCATATTAACTTTTGAAGTGGTGAAATACAATACACCTTTTCATGCATAGTCACCTTTTCATGCATAGTTAAGGTGGCATATGTGTACAAATTGAAGTTCAGGTGTTAGATATGTAAATGCATAGGAACTAAGTGGTGTGTTTGTAAATCTTCTTAATAAGTATCCCCTGATGTTATATTCTCTAGTTCTTTGTATAGCTTATTGTCTGATGTTTTTTGTACATTTGAGATAGTTAATCCATGGTATGATTGTAAGGGCTACTGATTATGAAGTAAGTGATGAAAGTTCTTCAAATTTCATGTGCAAATTTGCATGCACAAAACAAATTTCATGTGCAATTTTGCTTGCACAAAAATGTAAATGATTGTTGCTAATTTTAGGGATACAGGATATAATTCCTAATTGATGAAGTCATAGAAAGTGATATGAAATTGATGTTGTTTTGGGTGGTTTGTGGCTGTTGAAGTTACTTGCAATTTAAAATTAACAGTTCTCTGATAATTGAAATTCATTTCTCAATTGGGATCACGATATGCTTAAAACACCCAAATTGCTTTTATAACCATACAACGAAAGACAATTTTGTGCAGAAGAAGTTTTAGGTAGGATGTGGTATGGAATTATGGATGGCACTTGCTGTGGTCCAGAAGCTGCTGAATCAGCTTCTCGCTTTTAAAAGAGATATATTTAAGGGAAAGTTCCATACATACCACCCAATTCCTATGTATTTACATATCTAACACCTAAAATTTGTTTTTTACATTTATACATCCCAAATCTTTGCATCACATATTTAACTTTTGAAATGTGAAATACACCTTTTCATGCATAGGCAAGATGGTAGGGACTTTAAAATTGAATTTGAGGTAAAAGATAAGTGAATGCATATGATGGTAGGGACTTTAAAATTGAATTTGAGGTAAAAGATAAGTGAATGCATATGATTTGAGCGGTATGTATTTTTTATTTTATTTTTTAAATTTGGTTAGACCATGTGAAACCTTTGTAGTTCAGCAACTACAAGAATTGTTTGGCTTTTGCTTTTGTACAGAATGAGAAAAGCTTATCATTTGGGCAGTGATTTTTACTTGGGCTTTGAAATGTCAAGATGAAGGACCCTTGCTAGTTGAGTAAGAGCAGGAACGCTTGGAAAGTTCATAAAAATAGTTTTATTTTTTTCCTTTAGTAAATACAATCACAATAGCTTTTGTACAAGAAGGTGAAAACTAAGTAGAAAGATTATGAAAGGTCTCTTTCTTGCCAATCAAGAAAGAAATTTGGAAAATATAGTAATTTCTTAAGTAAGATAATCACAATTGATAATCTTTCTATTGAAGGAATAATATGGAAGTTAATGCCTGCCTGTAAAATAAAATCCATATTACTAAACATGGATTACCACACAAGTATTTTGTCAAAAAAAAAGCGAATGTAAAAGTAAATTTTTTTTCTAGTAATTTATCATTATGTGCAGATTGATCAATTAAACGTGTAAGTGAGACAGGCATGTGATGAAATGATTGTTGTATGTTTTTTTCTTCTAACTTTAGGTGTGCCAGTTTTGCCAAGAACATTCTGCAAAGCCTGTTTGCTCGTTATGCGAAACAGCAGAAAATCTTTGGATTTGTGTTATATGTGGCTTTGTTGGATGTGGAAGGTCAGCACATTGCTTTTCTATTGAGAGAAGTGTCACAATACTCATCTTACTCTTTATAGAGGGTCATTTTAGTCCCAAAATCCGTAAGTTTCAATTTAGTCCCAGAGTTTATAAGTGTTAATTTAGTCCCCATAATCTTTTAATCTGGGCTGAAATTCAGTTTCAGAATTGCAGCTTTAATTTAAAAGGTTTATGGACTAATTTAGTACTTTTGAGACAATTTTAGGCTCAATTTAAGAAGTCTAGGGACTAATTTAGCACTTTTATAGAGTATGAGACTAAAATGACCTTAAATAAACAGTCAGTAGACTATGTTTGACACTTTAGTCTTTTTTCAATCAATCAAAATGAATTCTATATATAGGAGCATCCTTGCTTTATTACCTGTTCTAACAAATTCTAGCATGATATGAATTCTATTATGTATTTACGATCATCGTTCATGTAGGTATAAAGAAGGCCATGCATTTAGACATTGGAAAGATACGCAGCACTGCTTTTCTCTTGATCTGGAAACACAGAGGGTCTGGGATTATGTCGGAGATAACTATGTACATAGAATTAATCAATCAAAGAGTGATGGTGAGTTAGTTAAGATGAAGTCCAATAATAGATCTTTTGGGGACCATTGTGAAAGCTGTGCGTTTACTGAGGACTCCGGAATTAGCGGAGCTTTGTTAAGAAGCAAAGTTGAAGCTGTAAGAGTTTAAATTCTCAACATTAGATTGGAGATTTATTTTGTTGGTTATGAGATGAATTTCTCTACTTTAATAACTTTTTTATGTCATGGTATTTGTTTTGTTTAATAGATAGTGGACGAATACAATCGCTTACTTGCCAGTCAACTTGAAAGTCAAAGAGTGGTACTCACCCTTAAATGCTTCATGATACTGCTATATTTCCTTCAACTTGCTGTCATGTATTTTTTTATTGGAAAATTCATTTACATACCATTCAATTCACGTAGAGGCGTAACCACAAAGAAAAACAGGTTCAGATGCAGTAGAGGCATGACCTAAAGGTGAGTTCAAAGGTCATAGAGACGTAACTCAACTCGGTGCTTCAGCTGCCCTAACACCTAAACTTCAATTTTTACATACATGCAACTTTAATTATGCATTAAAAGGTATATTTCACTTTGTAAAGTTTAAAATGGTGGTATTTTTGTGGTGATAGGAATTGTTTGGTATGCATGCAAGGCCCTTTTTCTTGTTACTCAGATTAGGAAATTGAACAGCATAAACATTTCAAAACTAATTAGAATGCTTTTTTCCCCGTTGATCTATTGACAGTATTATGAAACTCTACTTGAAGATGCAAAACAGAAAAGGGAGAGATATATATCTGAAGCTGTTGAAAAAGCTGTGGATTCAAAGATTCAGGACATAGAGCTTGAAATTGAAAAAGTTATAAAAGAAAAGAAAACCTTTACTGACGTATTATTCCTTTCTTTACCTTTTTATATTCTTGAAGTTGATTTTATTTAATTTTATCGAATTGTTTGCACCAACTCATAAATCGATGCCACGGTTAGGTTTCATTAATTACTTTCAAATGTCCATACTCCCAGATTAATGAAAATCTCATGAAAAGTCAAAATCATTGGCGCGAGAAGATCAAGGAAATTGAACAAAGGTACCCCAATTATTTATATATATATGTTTATCTATATTAATGATGTTTTCTATCCGGCTTCAGTGATATGTAATTGTTTGTATGCACAATAGTTTTTTGGGAAATTTACGTACAGACCACACAATTCTTATGTATTTACATTTCTAACACTTAAAGTTTGATATTTATATTTATAACACATTGCCATTATTAAACTACTTATGAAAAGGTGTATTTCACTTTTAAAAAGTTAGTAATAGTGGTATTTTTGATGTGATGTTAAAGCTTTCAGTGGTATGTATGGAAATACGGAAATTTAGGTCTTAGTAAGTTGTCTGGTATGTATGGAAATACCACTAGTTTTCTATAAATTTCTATGAACAAACATAGTCCTCAAATGGAAGATATAGCTTTTCTCTTCTCTCACCCCTTAAAATAGTTTCGTTTCACAACTATAAACTACCTTTCAACTACCTCGACAAGCTGTGGGATTCTACCACAACTTCCGGCAGACTTGCAAGCCATGAACTTATTTCTGTCCCTCAACTTTTGTGTGAAATGCTTCTATGAGAAAATATAATGAATGCTCGAAGGAGTAATAAAGGGTCAATCACCATAAAAATACCCAATTTTTTTTATTCATTTAAAAGTTAAAACAATAAGGTGCATTTACAAACATACCTATGTATTGACATATCTAACACCTAAACTTTACTTTTTATATTTATTATGCATGAACTTGATACCTACGAGTAATTTATGAAGCACTTCTATTGGACATCTAAATGAATCCGCTTATATCTTAAGTGCACATAACATTGAATCTAGATATGTTTAAAGTGGCTATTTGTTGGCTCGGAATGGTATGACTTCAGTTTTTTTTTGTAGCTAAAATTGCAAATATGAAGGTTTACTCAATCTATAGTAATATAATATAAACAATGAATCTGAGCACTTGAATTATTTGCTTATTTATCCTTGATGTTATCATTTTCATGTTATGATTTTTCTCCTCCAGCATGTCAATATCTCTCTAAATGCTTATTTCGTTATTGTAATAGAAGAGTATCATTGTAATTTACACAATTATTTTGTCATGATTGGAGATATATAATAATAAAATATTTTATTTTTACACAATTATTTTGTCATGATTGGAGATATATAATAATAAAATGTTTTATTTTTACCGTCACATTAGTAAAAAAGAAGTTGAGGAGGTTTAAAGAAAACCAAGGGTGAAAAATCAGTAGACTTGATATCCCAAATGAACTATGGAAATGTCTAGGAGTTTTGTGAGTTTCTTGGCTTACTATACTCTTTAATATTATTTTAAAAACTAAAAAGATGTTCGAAGAGTGGAGGAAGAGTATTTTGGCCTCCATTATTAAGAATAAAGGGGATGCACAAGAGTGTACAAATTGTAGAGGAATTAAATAGATGTGTAATACTTTAAAATCATGGGAAAGGGCAATTGAACATAGGTTAAGGCTTCGTTTGAAATACCAATATACCTCTGTTGCAATCCATAAAACGTCGAGCGAATGTCGATGGTTCGTTTGGTGGTTCGACGTCTCAGAAAGCGCTAACATGTTTTCTCCGTTTTCAAATTGCAACCGAGGAGCTCCGTTCCACCGTTCTAGATCGCGTTTCTTCATTTCGACGACAAAATTCTCCTCTATGCCTCTTTAGGTGTTCTCGATTGAAGCTTTTCACAATCATCTCATTTTGCGGACCTTCATTGGTTAGTGGAGCTTTTCAGATCGTTATTTTTTATGAAAGTTCTTCAATGACAAGGATGCCTCAAACGAGTTCTAAGACGTGATAGAAGGACGCCTCAAACGAGCCCTAAGACGTGATACAAAGTTTTCTCATACTCGGTTTGGATTTATGTCGTGCAAGTCTACTATGGAAGTTATACATTTATTGTGAGGTTTGATGGAGAAATACAAAGAGAATAAGAAGAATTTACATGTGTTTTTTATTGATTTAGAAAAAGCTTATGATAAGGTTCCAAGAGAAATCCTTTGGTGATTTCTAGAGAAGAAATGTGTTGATATAATTTATATTCAAGTCATTAAAGAAATGTATGCTAGTGCTGCTACTTGTGTTTGAACAGATGGAGGATTGACCAAGTATTTTCATATTTCAGTTGGATTACATCAAGGATCAACTTTATGCCCGTATCTATTTTGCTTTAGTTATGGATGCTCTTATTGGACATTTACAGGAGGATTCACCTTGGTGTATATTTTTCACTGAGGATATCCTTCTTGTGGATAAGACTAGAGAAAGAGTTTAGGGAAAAGTTGAATTGTGGAGGTCTACATTAGAGTTTAAAAGCTTTCGTTTGAGAAGATCTAGAACTGAATATATGGAATGTAATTTTAGTAGTAGTAGCTCTAGTGGCAGAGTTGTAGCTATGAGTGATCAAATCATTAGAAGGTGTGATCGTTTTAGAAAATCAAGTCTATTTTCAAAGTTATGGTGATATAGATAGGGATGCTATGGAATTAGTAGAATTCAAGTTGGTTGGTTGAAGTGGAGGAAGACATCTGACCTATTTATGATAGAAAAGTACCACTTGGATTAAGAAAAATTTTATAAGATAGCGGTGAGACCTGCAATGCTTTATGATGCAAAATGTTGGCATTTAAAAGAGAAGCATAAAATAGAGTCAAGTGTTGCTGAGATGAGAATGCTTAGGTAGATGAGTGGCCTGACACTTAGAGAGAAACTGTGAAATGAATAGATTCATGATTGGGTTGGTGTAGCGCCAGCGGCGGACAAGATTTAAGAAAGTCGTCTTAGATCATTTGGTCACATTAAACGCCGACTATCTGATGATCTCGTTAGGAGAGTAGATGTTTTAGGATTGACTTATGTTAAGAAAAACAGAGACATATCTAAAAAGACTCGGACATTGTATAAAAAATGATCTTATTCTATTAGAATTAAATGAAAATTTAACACTCAATAGGATGTAACGGAAAAAAATGATCATGCAACCAAACCCATTTAGTGGGATAAAGGCTTGTTGTTGTAGTTGTAGAGATAGATTCTTTAAGAGGTCTTCTCTTAACAATATATTTACTATAAGAGGTTGGTAAGAGCACTTGAGTAGCAAATCTTCACCCTCAACATAAATCTTTACTTAATTATCCATTGTCCTTAAATAGTGAAATAAAAGTTATTATGGACTCATTTGGTTGCTTGAAGTTAGAAAGTTAAGAGTTATTTATTGTAAAATGATAGATTTTGTTAATCTATCATTTGCTCAAGTGTAGTTAGGCACCAACAGTAATTTAATACTCTATAAACCTTCTCAAAGAGATGCTTTGACTTTCACAGTACAAATCTATCTTGATTTTATTTTCTTCACTCATAGTTTCGAGCATATTTGAATGCTCTGCATGATTAAGCATGACACCAGTTGTCAGGAAAAAATAGCTTTTATGTGAAAATTTTATCATGAGCAAATATAATTGATGTACAAAGTAAAAATAAAGAAACAAGAAACTATGAAAAATCATAAGTTTTATGTTTTTTAACTATAACAATATTCTACATTCACATGAGAAGATAAATGATCCAATTTACAAAGTAGTGTACTATAAAATAGGGCACAAAAAATGCTCCTGATAAACTGAAGTGAATAAAACTTTTGGAAGACGGTTTGGTTGTAAGTTTTAGCGAGCATGATACTTTTTAACCCTCATAGATCCTAATATCATCTTAAATCACAATGTGCACCAATTTTAGGCTAAATATCTAATTTAGTAAATCTCCATAGAAGTAGGATTTAAGAAGTTTATACCACTTTTCATTACAATACCTTAAAATTTAAAGAAATTTTCTACATACTTTACTTGGATTTAATCAGATTTAGCATTTATCATGCCAAATTTTTGCCAGAATTTAATTCCTCTTAGGATTTAATAAACTGAAGTGAATAAAACTTTTGGAAGACGGTTTGGTTGTAAGTTTTAGCGAGCATGATACTTTTTAACCCTCATAGATCCTAATATCATCTTAAATCACAATGTGCACCAATTTTAGGCTAAATATCTAATTTAGTAAATCTCCATAGAAGTAGGATTTAAGAAGTTTATACCACTTTTCATTACAATACCTTAAAATTTAAAGAAATTTTCTACATACTTTACTTGGATTTAATCAGATTTAGCATTTATCATGCCAAATTTTTGCCAGAATTTAATTCCTCTTAGGATTTACTAAATCTAAAGTTTCAAGGTTTAGTTAATCCTTCTTGTTCCCAAAAGAAAAATTTTGCCTTGAGAGAGAAGGATGGCATGAATTGGAAAAAAATAAGGGGAAATTACATGTAGACCACCCGAAACTTGCTATTTACAAATCTGGTCTTTCATTTATTTTTCAATTTCTATCTCAAATATCAAAATTCATGACAAAATTCCTACCCATATTTTTCATTTTTATCAAATTCTGAATCATTTAACCGTTGCATGTGTAAATACATTAATTTGATAGTTCAAAAAAATCACTTTGTAAATATCATTGTTTCGGGTGGCCTGTACGTAATCACCCCAAAAAATAAATAAATTTGAGGTATTCCCTTCATTTTTGTTTTTCCCCTGATAATCAATGAGTTGAAATTTCGCTATATTTGCTTGTACTAATCTTTCATCTTCAATTATATTGTTCACTTGCCATTACAGGGAGAGAGAAACACTCAGATTGAAGGATCTGAAGATTCATGAACTGGAAGAAGAGGTGATCAATCCATCTATACTCTGCAGATCAGCAGAAGCTTTCTATTTTTTCATAATTCCATTTTTTTTTTTGGGGCATTTACAAACATACCACCCAATTCCTATATATTTACATATTTAAGACGTGAACTTTGTTTTTTTATATTTGTGTCAACCAAATCTTTCATATAACATAAGAAAATACAATCATTTCAACCTCCAGAAGTGAAGCACATCTTTTTTATGCATAGATAAGGTGGTATGATATGTATGTAAACATCATTGAAGTTTACGTTTTAGATAACATAAATACATAAGAATAGAATGGTGCATTTGTAAATCTTTCTTATATTTTATAATTACAGATCAGAGACTTCTCCGTTTTCATTGAGGCCCAGAAAACACTTAATGTCGGAGGAGATACTGATGACATAAGAGGGGGCACATTATTGCCAGTCCCATCACCACCTCCAGTTTCCTCCCCCAGATCCAGAAAATCTTCAAGGTTTACCAGAAAAAGAACTTAGATTTACATCTGAAATTTACATATCAGGTAACTTGATTAATTAGTTATTTATTTATATAGCATATGTCATTCTAGTCTAGTTAATGTTAGTGGTATTTTTGAGATTTATGTATTAGGTTTGTAAATAATTTAGAAATATTTGGCATGATGCAAATCTACTTTTACAAAATAATAGAAAAAATATAGCTTTTTTTTTTTCATTTACAAATAGTCTTATCTTTGTTAGTAGAGATACTGTGATGTGGAATTGATGTGAACACATAATTGTATACTGATCTTATATTTTAAGGAAGAGTAACATGTGTATCGCTCAATTCAATTGTATTTACATATTTAATACCTTAACTTCAATTTTTACAATTTTCGCGTTATCTATACATAAAGAGGTGTATTTATGCCACTTTTTAGAAGTTAAAATGATAATTTATACTCGTGTTCGACTTGTGAGACATGTTAAAACGTAGAAATTGAGTGATATATATAGGGCTGTATGCGAGGCGAGCTTGAGCTAACTTAGGTTTGGCTTATGTTTAGCTTGTTTGAAATTCAATTGTATTTGAAATTGCCTGTAAATAGTTTGTTCGTGTTCGACTCGATTTAAATATTCTCGTTCGTGTTCGGCTCTTATTTGAGTTGAGATTGGTTCTTTTAAATTAATTAGAAAAATAAATTTGTGTTGGATTCTAATTTGTACTATTATTACGAAATAAAAATTGTATAACTGCATGATCAAATTAGCTATAATGATATATATATAGTTAAAAAGAGTGAAGCATGATCGAACAAAAAAGATTGTTTGTGTTAGGTTCGTTTATAATTTGAGCTTAAAAAATTTTATTGTATTTGATTCGTTTACTTAATAAACAAATTGAACACGACCTACTTAACGAGTCGGATAATAGTTGTATATATATCTGTTATTTAAATAGAATAAATAATTATACAATTGAATTTTAGATTTTAGATTTTGAGTTAAGTATCAAAATAGTTTTATGCTATTTATATAGAGTTATTTTAATTTTAAAATTTATAGAAATGATAAAATAATTTTCAATATAATATGATTTCATAATTCCAATAGGATTATTTAAGTTTAAATTTAAAAAAAATCTCGAAATTATTTGGTGATTCCTCATAAAGATATTAATGCTTGTGAATACATTTGACTTGATGTTGCAATTATCTCGAATATTTAGCCATGGAGACGAGATCTCTTTGAATAATCCAATGATGAGAAGGAGACAGACAGAATGATGAGACGTGCGTGTTGCAGTTTCTCCTTTCTGGCATTATTCGGATGGGACATGTGCACGTGCTACAAGTTCTTATTTTTTGGCTTCGGTAATATTAAATCTTAATTAAAATATATTTATTTAATTTTTTATTTCAAATTTTTGTGAAATTTATATAAAAATTATAGCCATCCATGCACATGTAATTATTATTTAGGTTTAAATAAGATAAATGTGGATGCTTGGTATTAGAAAGATTTGCATGGGCACAAATTTATATATCTAACACTTACATATTGATTTTTATATTTGTATAAATGCATGTTGGGAAGGAACATTTTATTTTTTTAAAAATTGATGATTTTGATATTTTTCATGTGATATGAAAGATTTGTATCGTAACCGTAAAAAATTGGTTAGATGTCGGATATATAAATTCATAAGAATTGCATGATATGATGTAACGCCCTGTAATATTTTCAAGGTGGATTAATAACATTTGAAATGAGGCAACAAGTTCCTATTTACATATATACACAAAAAAAAATATAACAACACATATCTTAAGGCAGAACGGATGACTCTGAAGGATGACACAATCGATCGGTATTCCTGTTAGTGATCGGAAAATTAATGCTAGAAAGGGAAGCGTTTGGATCGATCGTAAGTAAGGATGTGCCAGAGGATTTTTCACTTGATGATGATCGACCTTAAGGTTGATTGGTGGATTGTTGAGATTCAGATCAAATATCGATGGAGTTAAGGGTAGGCGAACGACCGATGAACTTATCGCTGATCAGCATTAATCTGTCAGTTTTATTATATTCAAATATCCTTAGAATTACTAAAAAAACTCCTCTAAGAACTAAAGATAAAGAGACTGGCCTATAATTTTGTAAGGATGAGGTCTATTCCGATAGATAGTGGGCTCATACCATGAATAAATGTTACACATTCTTGTGATTCTTAACTACACTTATTCTCTTGACTCTCTCTGCACAATATTTTATACCTTGAGTTTGTTTTCCAGATACTTTTAGATTCAATATCTTTTAAGGCGGGGTAAGCTTGGAAACATGCCTTCAATAAGAAGAGGAGCTCATCAACAACAACAGAGAGAATCCAACCAGAAAAACATGATAGAAGCAACGTGCACTAGAGAGTTCATGAAAGAATTTGTTTAGCAAGGCCTGCAACATTTAAGAAATCAGATCACCAACCAAATGTCGGGACAATTTGCAGAGGTGCTCAAAGTCGTGGCTGTCTTAGAAGCAATCTAGATTCCAAGAGGAGAATTGGCCTAACAAGGAGCACCTAAACCCCCTCAAGGGGAGCACCAAGAAATAATGGTAGTAGAGTGATCTACCTGCAGGAGAAACCCGACGACAGGTTATATCAAGATAGCGACATATTCACCAGTGCAAAAGAAACATTGTTACGGTTGTTTTGTATAATCCTTCCTTCCTTTCCAAAGCCATTAATATAATAAAGGTTTTTTTTTTACATATTGACATCTAAGAGTTTGGGATTTACATATTCAACATCCTCTGACAATATTTTATTTACGCACTCAGGGAACTGACACTGTCACACTCGAGGAATGACATTGTTATGTTTGGGGAGCTGGCACTGTCACGTGTAGGAAGTTGGCACCGTGAGAGATTAAAACTAATCAATCAATGTAACGATCGTCAGCGGCTCATGAGATGTTTCAACGCTTGACAACAAAAAGCTCCACGATGGGTGTATAAACGATCGTCTTGAGCCCGAATTATAATGTTAACACCCAACAACAACAAGCTCAGTGAGGGTCGTCTAACGATTGCCAACAGCCTATGGGACATTTTGGCACCCGACAACGACAAGCTCCGCTAGAGGTGTTTAAACGATTGTCCTAAGCTCGAAGTATAACATTAACACCCAACAACAACAAGCTCTATTAGGGGAATCCAATTATCGCCAATGGCCTATGGAAGGTTTTGACACCTGACAACGACAAGCTCCGCGAGGGGTGTGTAAACGTTCCTATTGAGCCTGAATTATAATGTTAACACCCGATAGTGACAAGCTCTGCGATGGGTGTCCAACGATCATCAGTGGCCTATGAGACTTTTCTTCACCCAACAGTGATAAGCTCTGCGATGGGTGTGTAAATGATTGACTTAAGATCGAATTATAACGTTAACACCCGACAACAACAAACTTCGTGAGGGGTGTCTAACGATCACCAGCGCTCCATGGGTCATATCGACACCCGACAACAACAACCTCCGTGAGGGGTGTGTAAATGATCATTCTGAGCCCTAATTATAAATTTGTCTCTTTAAAGCGACAACCTTTGCAAGTCGCCAACGGCCTATTGTACGTTTCGACACTCGGCAACGACAAGCTCTGTGAGGGGTGTAAAAATGATCATCCTGAGCCCGAATTATAAAGTTTAGAACCGACAGCGATAAGCTTTGCCAGAGGTGTCCATCAATCGCCAGCAGCTTATGTGACGTTTCAACACCCGACAACGAAAAGCTACACAACGGGTGTGTAAACGATCGTCCTGGGCCTGAATTATAACATTAACCCGACATTGACAAGCTCTATCGGCGGTGTCCAACGATCGTCAGCGGCCTATGGGACGTTTCAGCACCTGATAATAACAAGCTCCGCAAGGGTTGTGTAAATGATTGTCCTGATCCCAAATTATAACATTAGGACCCGACAAAGACAAGCTCCGCGAGGGGTGTCTAACGATCGTCATCGACCTATTAGACATTTCGACACCCGACAACAACAAGCATGCGAGGGGTGTGTAAACGATCATCTTGAGCTCGAATTATAATATTAATACCCTGCATAAACAAGTTTTGCAAGGGTGTCTAATGATCGACGGCGCCCTATGGGATGTTTTGGCACCCGACAACGACAATATCTATGAGGGGTGTCAAACGATCGCCAACGACTTATGAGACGTTTCAGCACCCGATAATAACAAGCTTCGTAAGGGTTGTGTAAATGATTGTCCTGATCCCAAATTATAACATTAGGACCCGACAAAGACAAGCTCCACGAGGGGTGTCAAACGATGGCCAGCGACCTATTCGACATTTCGACGTCCGACAACAACAAGCATGCGAGAAGTGTTGTAAACGATCATCCTGAGCTCGAATTATAATATTAACACCCTGCATTAACAAGTTTTGCAAGGGGTGTTCAACGATCAACGGTGACCTATGGGATGTTTTGACACCCGACAACGACAAGCTCTGTGAGGGGTGTCAAACGATCGCCAACGACTTGTGAGACGTTTCAGCACCCAATAGTGATAAACTCCGCGAAGGGTTTGTAAATGATCGTCCTGAGCCCAAAATACTATGTTAACACCCGACAACGACAAACTTCGCAAGAGTGTAACAACCGTATGTAAGAAATACATCAGATTATGACCAACACACGTATATGTACACACTTTCCACAACTCATAACAAGTAACAATTCACCCATACATTCGAGCAATCATCAAATGAAGGAGAAAAGGCTCGGGTAACAAAGTCTTCGGCCTCAAAAGGTTTCTTATATCATAGAAGTTTGCTTACAAATAACAATCTTCCTTGCAACGAAACAAAAGGAAACAAAAAAGATATAAAAAGGGTCCTCTTAAACCATGGACATTTGAAGTTCTGCCTCCCTAGTTACTTCCGCACCCTCGGCAGTTGGCACCATTAGACTTCTCGTGCGTTGACACTCCATCCTATGAATCCGAAAGAATTGTCCCAAACTCCTCCATGTTCTGCCACTTTGGTTCAACCAACTTGTGCTTTACAAACCTTTCGTTTGCGAGAGAAGTGTTGACCGCTATCTAACGAGAAAGACCCTCGACGTATGCCTCCCGGGTAATCATCAAAGACATTTTCTCTTTCAGTTCCTCATTTTCCAAAA